CATCGATGTCCATGAGAAGGCTTCGCTGGAGCTAGTCATTTTTTGTAGCGTTTTGCCAGCTTGTATGGCCACAATCGAGGGTGGTGCCACACCGAAGAAAGTACCCAAAGCAAAGGTGGTCACGGGCACTCCAATTACGGGCGATGCCAAGTTAATGAACCAATTCGGTAGTATGGGCGTCATGCGTAGGAATAACATATAGTTGAACAGGCTATCGCGATGCTTCTCCACATGCTTGGACCATTCGTTTGTCTTCTTCGGCCAGAAGTGACGTATGAGACGACGTCCAACCAAATTCGAAAGGCTGTAACAGAGTGTAGCGCCCAGTGAGGAGCAGAAGCAAATGAGAAATAATGCAATGGGAAACTTGTAAAGGAATCCTAATAGAATGGAGAGGAATAATGATCCTGGAATGGCAAACGTTTGTAGGCTGTATGTAAGAATTTAGTTAAGGAAAACAAAGTTGAGTATGTACTTCCAAAAATATGTATGTACTTATACAGGACTCGAAACAAATGACCACGTGTTGATTTTTTTTTTTATATATTCGTAATGTTTTCAGAGGAAATTATTTTTTGTTATTTTTCGATAAAAATAGCGTCCAAGCTTTAACCAAAACCATATAAATCACATTTTCAAAGAATATATAAAATTTAAAAAAATTCCACAAATTTTCAACTTTTTACATACAATTTTAGTCTAGTGAAGTGCAAGTTTCAGACGGCTAAAAACCCCGTTGACTTTTGAGATTTTTTTTGTGACGAATTTTTGCAAGTTTTTCAATATAAGCATACATTTCTTATGAAATAAAACGCGAGAGACCGTTAGCCACAAAATTAAAAAAAAATCAACGCCAGATTTCGTAAATTGCACTTGTTATATAAAAATAACCGAAAAAGTAGTCTCTCAAAAAAGCTCTCAAATATCAACGGGATTTTTCAGCCGGTTGAAACTTGCACTTCATTAGACTAAAATTGTATGACCTATAAAACTGCATACCCAAAAATGTTCTAAAGATTCTGACTAAAAAGTTGAAATTTTATTGAAAATTTGTTGAATTTTCCTAAATTTTATAGAAAGAAAAAGCTCGAAAAACATTACGAATATTAAAAAAATCAACACATGGTCATTTGTTTGAGTCACTGTATATGTGTACATATCTAAATACACATATTCTTGTAAGAAATATACATTAGGGTGATCTAAAAAGCATGTAAAAAAAGTAAAGTCGGATTTTTATGCTCTCCCCCTAGGATTTTTCCATATCGAAAAAATAAACCTATTTTATTTATGAAAAAATATTTAAAGGTCTCTCAAAGCGCTTAAACTTTCCCATGTATTTTGTATGGGAAATGGTAAAGAATCCTTGAAAATCGATATTTTTCAATTGGGCAACTGTCCCTCTTCAGGAGGCTTCAAAGAAAGGGGACCTTTAAAAATAGTTACTATTAAAAAATGGTTAAATAAACAACTTGGTTAGTATTATTCCTTTAAGTCTATTCGTGAGAAACACAATATTAATGTATTTCTTGGGGCCGTACTAAGCGCAGGGCAACATTGGAGAATGAAGAAATATCCTAAGTACCTGGTAGTCATATGAAAAGAGAGACTTGAGCGCTGCATGACTGTCACAAAGGGTGTTAGGGTGCATGCAAAGAGGTGATGGTTGAGAATGCGGAAAGAACGCGTCTGATGAAATGTTTTAAACTCTTATACTAGCTATGCACTAGGAATTAAATGGCAAAAATTGTAATGACAAAGTTGGGCATTAAAAAATATTCCTGTCATTGTTAAAAAGATAGTCATTAAATTCATTTCCTCAAGGCATTTTTCAAATACCTCAAATTTTTTTTGTCATTTTGATGCCTAGTGGAAACTCGGCATTAGTATTTATTTAGTACTTTATTTTGAAAGT